TGCTGCACCGAAGATGTTAACTGATGGGAGCGAGGGCTTCGCTCTTGGCCCGTTTCCAGGGCTGGACTCCCTCACGCCGCGGGGTTGCTTTGGCCCCACAACACGTACGCGGATGGGGTGTGACGGGACTCAAGGGAAACGCTCGCGGTGTTTCTTCGGTTAAAAGGCTGCTGCTTTTAAGAAGTATGCAGGGAGACGACGTTTGAACTGATGTGCTGTTTTCACAGCACACGCAAACATCTCCGTTTCCTCAGTACGAGGGAGCTGACAAAAAGGCGTGAGCTGTCCGTGGCTGGCTGCCTGTAGCCGATAACGGTCCCCCCGCGGCATCGCCGTTGGCTTCCACCGCACTTTTGCACATGAACCAGTAATAGGATGCGCAGAAGGATTATCTCCTCTTCTGACTCGATACCCGACGATGTGGCTTTCCGCAGTTCGGCTCTCTCCCACCAGCAGGCAGAAAGCTTTGTAACTGGAACACCGTACGTCAGGCACAAAGGACGTTAGTGGGAAGCAGACGCTGACGTCAGAACGGCCGAGACACCTGGCTCGAAGGGGCACATCCGAATTTTTCTAACTCGGCATGTCTGCTTTGCAACCGGTACCAAGAACACGTAAACCAGGGAGCTGTTCCACGGCGTTGTTTGCATCAAGACGGTTTCCAGCCTACGATTTCAACCTGAATCTCGGGGGTTTCGTTTATGAACTTGCGTTCAATGAGCAGTTGCGCCCGAGCGTCGCAGCCGAAGTCCCGGCTGAAACCGTGCATGTTTTAGAGTGGGAAGAAATAATGGAAGCACAGCCTGATCCAGTAACGTTACTGGTTTGATACATGGGCCAAATATAAAATGGCCATTTGGAATATATTCCACGTGAAGCGCAAGTCTGTGGAGTTCCTCTGGACAGGAGGAACTCTCCCCACATCAGTCCCCAGTTTTTGCTGTTTCCTGGGACAGCTACTCAAATTCAGTAAAAGCACCGATACCATCTGCTAGAGCAGAGATGGTGAAAAATGATTTTCCTACGTTAAGAATGAAGTGGAAGCGTTTTAGAGACATGAGACGGACCGGGATGTGAATCAAAGGTTGCAGAGAGGAGGAATTTTCTGTTAGGCGGTAGCGTGTGATGTCCCGGGAAACGCAGGCTGCCTCGGCCTCCTTTCTCTTTGAAACAAGAAGAGGAAAATCGACTCCTTTTTAAATAATCAAGATAAAATTTGATCTCTTGAAATAGAGAGCACTGTAATCCTGCGGCAATCCTATTGACTAAACTTAGGTACCAAAATCTGCCCCTGAAGCTGTTATCGTGCTGTTCAAATAGTAATTGGACTAGTGTAATTATTAGCGAGATTAAACAGATTTTTATTTATACAAATATGTATTTGAATGAATTCTTAAGGCAGATTTAAATTAGAAACAACATCAAATGTTACGTTGTCCAGCAACAAGCCCCGTTGACATTAAACTGCTCTTCCACCATCCGATGTCATCCTGTGGGAAAGGAAAATTGTAAAGATTTCCTTGAAATAATTCCTCAGTTGCTTTAAATGTCTTATCTGCAAATAACGGATAAATATCCGACAAATACGATGGACATTTTCACTCTCAGTAATTAATAAAATCATCACTGGAACTATTTTTACCCTGGAATATTTCTTTTCTGTTTATCACGTCCATTATTTGATAATTTGTAAAAGTGGGGGATCGGTACAAATCCACCCACCTCTGTGCAGATGAAATGTAAATACGAGCGATTCCCAGCACGACAGCCAACAAATGTTTTGCCACATCATCCCCAAAATGACCGAGTCACCTGCACCCCCCACTGACCTTTTGCAGGTGGATAAAAATCACGGTGGAAAAATAATTGGGGGAATCGAGGAGTCTGAACGAAGGAACCTCGGGGGCCATCCTGTCTGGCGGGCTCGTCAGGAGAGCCAGAGTTCGGGCCTGTCCCCTGATACGACAGCCTTCGACTTCTGGAAAGTGACGATTTTATTGCGGTTCCCTTTCGTCCGCAGTTCCCAGAGCGCTGCCCCCTTTGGTATGAACAAAACTGGTCAGCAGCGGTTTAGGGCTGATTTGGAGACCAACGCCGTGGGACGTTGGCAGAGCACGGACGGGGGAAGGGGAAAAGGGAAACGGATAAAAAAATTAGTAGCACCTGACGACAATTTTTGGGATTCGTATGAAGGCCAGGTATTTTAATTACTTGGGCCAGTGACTCTTCACCCATCCAGCTGAGGTTAGAAGGCAAATAAAGATGTAAAGATACTAAAGATAAAATCTGCATCAGGAGATCGACTTTGATCTTTTGAAATAAATGAACTAGATAATTCTCCCAAAGCTTTACGTTGCTAGGCTAGCGTACCTCTAATTTGTGTTCAGCGCTGCCGTTCGGTCGTACTTTTCAAGAAGGTGCTCGGATCCGTCCATTATCGTTATTATTTTCTGCCTCTGTTTTACAGGAGCTTGCGGGAGCTTGGTGCCAGCCCAGCTGCGAGGCTCTGCAGGAAGGCAGAACAGAAAGTCCCTGACGCAAAGGTATTTTGAAGAGACGTTAAAAATGCAATCCCTTATCTGGCAATTTAAAACCAGGCTCGAGCAGCAGAGGACAACTCACAACCGACTGTGTATTCTTCTGTGGTCGAACGTCTTGCAAGCATTCCACTTTATTTTCAGACGTGCCCAGCGCTACCTGAATTTGCCTAAAAAATCAGTCCCTGATGTCTCAACGTGGACGTTCAAAATGATGAAGGAGAGGCAGTGTTACAGCTTTTGATGTAATAATAGCTTTGAACAACAAAAAATAGAACTTAGGATATTTCTGTATCTATTTTACACGTTTAATGTGATCGTTATTTACAGTCTACAGTTGTTCTGCCTTTTTTTTTTATAAACCTACTGCTTTGCAAGAGCTTTTAGTATGCACTCATTCTGTTATACATTACCTCAAGCTTTCTTCTCCCGTCTGAGTTGCAACAGTCCTGTAATGAAAGAATATCCCCCCCGGTAATTACATGAATTTTGAATCCTTTTTAATATTAATGTTAAAATAACAAAATAATTCTTGCATTATACTTTTGATTTGTAATTCATTTAGTCAAATCTACTGCTACAGAATAATGGCAAAGGCACAAAAGGCATTTGTATTCCTTTAAGGACAACTACAAAGATGTATTTAAGAAGGAGACAACACTCTGGGCTTACTTAGTTGAAAAAAATCATCACTGCCATCATTACAAAAGCATTTCCAAGGAAACCGGACAAATAATTAAACGGTAAGTACTTTCCAGACACTAAATCATTTAAAATCGAAACAAGGCCAGAAAACAATAGGATGCAATTAAATACCAATGTTTTTATTTAGTTTGCAGTTACTGTGTGAATAAAGCAGCACCTTTTGCCGTGAGTACCCCCACTAGCTCCAGGGGCGTCAGTCCGTTTGAATAGGAGAGGTAAAATCAGGTGCCCGGAGCAGCATTTTTTCCTAGAGAAATCCCGAACCACCTAAACCACACAGATCTTTTGTTTGTATAAAGATCTGTACGTATGCAAAACTTCCCGGCCTCTGACCCCTCTGTAGGAAGAAGACCCCAAGTATTTTGAACATGGAAATGAAATTTAAAAATGTGATCTCAGCTGGTGATCTGAAGTCCTTAAAAGACAACAAACGTGTAGGTTACTCGATGAAGGAAAAGGGGAGCTGCTTAATTGGAAGTGAAAGGCGGGATTTATTCATTTATCCATTCTCCTATAAATAGTGACCTGACAGCGAGGGTGCGCTGGCTCTGTTTCGTGCAGCCCCTTTTTAGCTCTGTCCCTCTCGGAATAGCATCTAATCCCAACTGCTGTTCTTACTGCGATTAGCGGGACCGAAGGCTGTTCTGGGTGCCTGAACGTTACTCAACCAGAGCCGGCGTTCCTGAAGAGGAGCATTACCTCATTTTCAGTAAAACTAAGTAACATTCTTGTACTTTGACCCTGGAAGGACGCTCCCCTGATTCACCGAGCACTCCTTGGTACAAGCGCAGAGTGAAAAACCCGTGTGGTTTTGGGCGTAAGGAGCAGAAGGCCTAGTGATGGCAGAGGGAGAGATGGGAACTGTGCGAGGGAGGAGGGGGGGGGGGATGGGAAGAGCTCTCAAAAGGCGGGATTTGCAAAAGTGTACGGATGGGTGATACGGGCACAAAGAAAAAGCTCTAATGCCATCTTTACGTTTGCTAAATAGGCACTTAATTAACTCTGTCCCAGCCAAAACCAGGACACTGTGTCAGTTCTTTCCTATGGTTGAAACGGAGGAGAAACAGTGGGTTGTCCAAGAAAAAGGAGAAGTTCCTCTGTGCTAATATTAATGCTGGGGGGGGGGAAGGTGTACAATACTCCCTTGTCTCTTTTACAGGCTGGTTTTATGCCTCCCCCCACAGCACCGCGGCCGAAGCGCGCTGCATGCCAGACTTCCCCAGCGGCCTCCCGCCGCTTCCAACAGCCCGGCCGCAGATCTTACGGCCCGAGCCCACGTGGTAGGATCATTTTCCCACAGGAAGAGCAACAAGGTCCCCTGACCTTCAAGACCAGGTTCTTTTTTTTCCAGACCTCTCTCTCTGGCAAGACGTATCGAGATTTAGCTATGGGACTTCCAGGAATTCGGTGCCCCACGTATCGCAGCTATGCACAGAGTCGTTGCAGACATATTAATGCTGTACAAACTGCCAAGCAGATCTCTTCGTTGCAGCTACATCTTGCGACTGACCCCATTTGTCATTCCCTTTTACTGATTTGTCACTGCAACCGGGGAAAAGCAGCTCGAGCGATACGCCTTGCGTGGCACCGAAAACGAAGCAGCGAGACACAGACATTGCTCGCTCACGCGACCGGGGTTAAATTCCCCCGCAGCTTCTGTGCCACGGGACGCTGAGCACGAGCCCCGAGTCGCTGACCACGTCACGTACCCAGCCAACCTGACGTATTTCGGGGCACTGCTGCATCTCAGCAGCATCCCTCCAAATATAACAGCGATGACCAATAAAGTCTGATTTAATCCTGTGCGGTCAGTGTTTTTTCCTAGTGCCATCGAAGAGGACGCACGGAGTTACCTTTCCTCCGCTCCGCCGGCGCCCTCTGTCTGAGTGCTGCAGGAATTCAAACACCGTTCAAATCGGTTTTAAAATGCCACTGATCTTTAGCGGTTTCCCCCAGAAGTTGCATGTTGGGGCTATTTACGTTTAATTGGTTATTTAACCTAAGCTGCTACAAGCTTCTTCAATTCCAGTGCTTTAATTCAAACTGATAATTAAATGATACTGACACGGGCTGTCAATGCTTTTCAAAACTTTTTCTCCCAACACAAACCAAATGAAAACAAACGTTTTGCAACTCACGCCGAAGTACTTCAAATAAAAGAAGATGGACGTGTAGCCTCCAGTTTTGTGAAAACGCCTTGGCATGCACCCAAAATTTCTGATAACTAGCAGGCAAATGAACCACCTTAGCGTCTAGGAAAAGCTTGGTTTTTCACTTAATGATTTTTCTAAGCCATTCAGCTAAAAAATGAAATTTCGAAAGGGATGATGTAATGCATTATCTCATGTTGTTATGCCGAGAGGGTTGGTAAAGCAAACATTTCGCATCGCTCGCCGCGTGTGTTTCGTCCATTTCCTTGGTGTTCTCTTATCTGCTCATTTAAAAATAGAAGCACAATCATTTTAACATTTAGAGTTACCTGCAGACCGTGTGCTTCACACCCAAGTTATAACTCTGAATGCAGAATATTTGTCTTATGAGTTCTTTTAAACGAAATAACACTGGTCAGACTCCCAATACTATACAAATGTTTTCACGCTAAACCACTTAGAGTGGCTACAAAGCAGATAGGAAGTATACTGCTATAGTATGGAACGGAACGAATATAGAGGAGTTTTACATATCAAGAGGAACGTTCTTTGTGACTGTTTTCAGCTGGTCTTCCAGCGGTTAAAAATAACGTACCTGGGCCGCCGAGGTGCTTCAACTCTTCATACTAAACAAGAGATACAGTTCATTTTACAAGCAAGGGTAAAAAGCCAGGTATTTTTTACAAGGCTTAAGATGTCCACTTTGGGGTTTACACAGAAGGCTTGCGCTTCTCATGTGCATCCCTAGCAAGTGTTTCTCTGTCGCAGATGGAGGAGATGAGGCGCCGGTTTATAATTGGTTTCCCTTTGCTCCATCTTGGGATGCAGGGTGTTTTTTAACCGTTTCTGACACCTGCCTAGTCCCTCCAATCACGTTTACAATTAATGTCTCTAGGGCTTCCTTCCCTTCCTCTGAGTATTTTTCACGGCACGGCAGCATGTAGCAAAACTGTATGTGTTAGAGGACGTTCAGTCTCATTAAAACGCTCTCAGAATTTGTTTTTAAATACTGGCGTATTTATGCAGAAATTGGTGCCGTTTAAGCAGTTGGGTATCTCGCCAGAACGTCTCTCGATCTCACTTTGAAAACAAAGCAAAATGCAAATAGATGTGTTACTTGTCAGAACGATTCTCAAGTACAAAGCTGATAAAGACATCAATTTGTCACAGAACTTTAGCCACCAGAAATTGGAAAGATTTATTAATCAAGGGTGAAATTCGCTCTGCCCTTCTAAGCCACAAAGCCACATTAGTTTAGCTCAGCTGTATATCATTGTAACCCAATGTAAGGTAATTCTCATCCTTACTTCTCATACTCTTCTTCCCTTAATGCCCAATCTAGGAAGAAAAAGGAATGATACGTTGTTTTTGCTACCCAAACTAAAAGATGAAGCTCTGTTTACCAACCTCACAGTAAAGCGCGCCGTTATTTTCCAACCAGATGCGTTGCAAAGATGGGTACAAATTATTCCGCTGATATCTTAATAGACTTTTCTTTCAGTTCCGCGTGTTCGGCTACGAATGATTTATGTGCCTGACTCTGCAAAATGTCATATACGGTGGTAGTTACTGCGAAACGAGGGTCTGAGGCAGCTAGCCTTTCCACAGAGATTTCCCTGCAAATTCCCACTGACTTAAAGGGAGGCTTCAGTACTTCTCCAAACAAGAATGTTTACTAGGGAAGAATTTAAGTGATCTAAACTACATTTTGAGCCCACCTAGCTTGTTTTATTAGCAGTCAGTTTTATAAGCGCACGCAATCAGGTTTTTCGCATTATTTTCCTTACATGTTTTTGTATTAAAAGATTTTTTTTAATAACAAATGTTTGCTCTTCAATTCAGTTTCTAATTTATGCAACGTTAATGATAAAGAATTTCCTGTTGGGAAATGCGGAGGTGGCTCGGTAGATAATATACCTTTTGTTTTATATCGCAGTCTCGAGTTCTGAGGAAGAGACAACAGAATGAAAACGGCAATGAGCACAGACAGAAACACGAACAGCGAAGTCTCTGTGTACTACAGAAACCAAAGGTGCTGCAGTGATGCGCGTGATTATTCCCTGAGCAACTGCAAAAAGATGTCATACAACAAACCGCCTACACATGTAAATAAAAGTGTAAAACGCACCGCATTTTTAGCTTCCTATTTTCTGTCCTCAAAGCATCAATTTCCTGGACCTGGGATAGGAAAAAACATCGTGTTTTGAACATGAAGATCAGTATCAACTTCGTACATCCTTAACGTCAGCTTTCTCCAGGGCTGATTAAGTGTCTTGGATTTTAAAATACCTGTAACTTTGCCTTTTAGTCTTTACGTTGCACGCTGTTCTGAATTACAACACAAAATCGATGCCGAACCAATATAGTCTCATAAAGTTAATAAACATTCTGCTTGCACTGACCGTATTTCTGCTATTGCAATGTTCACGGCTTTCCAGGTGAAAGTGAGAATACAAAACCAGCTGATCATTTCAGGGTTAAGGACGGTTTTTTCTTTAAATGACAATAAACGCTGAAAGGTACGAGCTACCTGATGGCAGAAATGACAGCAGCTAGGAGACGTCTGCTTACACGCGATGTATATATTGCGGAGGGTCAGGATTATACTCACTAAATCGCACTGGCAAACAAACTACAATCAAATCCAAATGCCTTGAGTTAGTCTGCGTGCTCAGACTAAAGGGAAGGATTTGAAGGCTGTTGCCTCCTGCATTATTTCAGAGACACAGCCGCTTTTTTCCTCCATCCAGGCCAAGGAATAGTGAAACACTCGGGCACCTGCTTTTCTCGATACCAGAGCAAAAGGATTGCTCTCCCTTTGTCTGGAATGTTGTAGTGTTATTTACAAACACGAGACGGCTTTGGCAAAACAAAGCCTTGCCTTAACCTTAACGTGGTGTTGCTTTAACATCCGTCTTTATAGCCATTGCACGTGTTTAAAAGCCAAACTTTCCCCACTCGCTTCATCGGGATATTTCCCAGCACTTGACTACAACTGCTTTTTGCGTACGTTAGCTGGGATTTCTAAATCTTATCCCATTTACTCGCTAGAAAGGTAAAAGACTGCGGCTTGTAAGGAGAGAATATATTAGTTATATTCAGTTTAATGTAGCCAGGGAAGGTATGAGACTTCTGAACAACTCCGTTACACTATGGTATGAACAAACTTCACGGCTCATCTCATCTCCGTACACAAACTTCAATAGCCCGCGTATCGCTAGTGTTTTGTGAATGTCTCCAAGAACGCTTTCATAAATATTACTTACAGGCTGGCTGCTGTCTGAAAAGGAAAAGGTTTCACGGACAAGCCTCTTTCTCTGATCTTTATTTTTCCTATAAAATACAAAAATTTTCAGCTATATCCCCACTTCCGTAATGGCTTTTGATGTATATTAAATGTAAATCAAGCAGAACAAAAGATGAACTGTAAGCATGGAAGAGTTCCTTTGTGTCAGCTTTTATGAAAAGGTACTTACAAGATTGGCAAATAGCTTTCATTTTTCATCAGCACCTGCTCACCATTTTCTGTATAAAAGATGCACGTTAGAGGATTACATTTTTATGAACATAATAGCCCTTTTCCAAAATTGGCACACTCAGGAATAATAATAGCAGCAGAATAAATAGCACAGAGGCCCGCTCTTCTAAAGGTTAGCGAAATAGGTATCAGCTCCAGTCACGCGAGTTATCCCATGAAGGTCAACCGCTGCGCTCCCCATCCCGAAGACGGGAGACGCAGAGGGGGAGCAGCGACACGGGAGCATCCTCCCCTCCCTCCGTCTGCCCCCCAAAACCCTGGTACCGCTGCGGGTCTTTTTAAGACATAAACGATTACAGATGCTGTTTGCTTTCGGAAGCCAAACTGGCTGGCCGGCACAGGGCACGGACTTGGAAAACCTGCCTTGATGGACAATTATGCAGTTCGGCAGGGATGCGGCGGCTGTGTGTCCCGCACGCAGCCGGGCCGGGTTAAATGGCCGGGGGTTTGTCCACAGGACGTGCCCGCACCGTGGCACCGTCCCCGGCTTCGCCTCGCCCAGGCCTAGACCTTCCCAGAACTGGGTCCCAGCTCGCTTGGGGGGTTATACTGGTGATAAATTACTGGCGAGAAAATCGCCCTGGTTACTTTATTACGCGCAATATCGAAATGATGTTTCAACGCGTCTTTTTTACCTTCTGTTTGCTGGAAAACAAGACCGACAGCAAGGGTGCTGAAGAAGGGAGGGACCTACCTTCTTCTTCAAGCAGTGACAGTGCGGGAAGGCGGCCTGGTAGCGGGGAGAGAGGTGGGTTTGGTACCTGGTGGGGGGAGAGGAGAGGTGGGTTTAGCCTCAAACCGCTTTCCCCCTCCCAGGACGTTTCCACCCCCCTTCCTCAGCTCGGGACCCGCTCAGGCCCCTGGGGAGGGGAGGGCGAAGGGGTGAGACCCGGGCGGCTGCAGGATTTCCCCGGAG